CCCCAAAACCCCAAAACCCCAAAACCCCAAAACCCCTAGAACAAATTCTAGAATTGAAAATTATGATGGGTTTACTCAAAACTATAAGCAACAAGTTAGACTCAAGGCTATTCTTTAATAAAAACAAAATACTTTCGAAAGAATTTTAATAGAAATGAAAGTTTATTGAAGATAAGGGTAATCAATGAAAGAGAAGCCTCCATATACCCCACCTTCATTGGTGTTCGCACCTTTAGTCCTCATGAGAATTCCTGTGTCTTTGTTGATAATCACTTCTCTCTCAGATTTTGAGCCAATTTTGACTAGAATTGTCCCAAAGATGCCTATTTCACTGAGGCATTTTCCTTTAAGAACTTTCCCCTTGCCGAGGAAAGCCCCTTCAAATTGTTGAGCATTGATTTTTCTCATTAATGAATAACTATCTAGCTTCTCGGTCTGTTCCAGAACAAAAGGGATATCATCTCCGAAATAGTTGTTGCCTCCTCCTTCTCTCTGAGTCTTCAGGACATAGTTATCAGGATTTAGCTTAGCATCTTCCATTGCAGCTTCGGTCTCTTCATCTAAGTCGTCAAATCCCCACATTTGGTCGTGGAAAAGTCCATTGATATTCATAAAATTGCAGCATCCGATCATTTTATACCAATGCTCGTTTTTGGAAAGTACCTCTTGGATCTTTTTAAAAGTAAGTAGATGTAAGTCAATGCTAGGACACTTGATAGCCAGAGACTTCTCCAGAGTGACTCTTGCATCCCAGTCTGATTGATCGAGGTACTGTGAAGGACTGTATCCAGTTCTATAATAAACTACAGCTATCTCTTCACGCCCATTATAGATAAGCTCTCCCGATGAGGTCAGCTCACACGATTTAGTAATATCTGCAAAAGTCAGTCTTCTACAGATAATTTTATGGCGATAATAAAGCATATTCTCAATAAGTTTCTGGTCACAGACATTAGCTTCTTCGTAGTCGACGATATAGGCGAGTATCTTCTTCCTGTCTGGGCTTGATCATTGAGATTCGTATAGCTCGAAAGCTCCTTTTATTGCATCAGCAATCTGTTCAGTGTTGTTACTATCATCTGGTAAATTCTGAGTATCAAGTGAAGAATAATGCTTGTCAATGAGATACTCATAAAGTCCCTTCATCTTATCACTGATGAAGCCTAAACCTGAAGCTATTGTATTGATCTCTACAAGTTTGGGTTGAAATTCCTCATCAACCATATAATCAGTGCGCAGAACTCCGAGGTATCCCAATTGGGAGTAAGTAGTCTCCTTTGCTTTAATTGAAGTATCAAGTAGGTTCTTAATAAAAGGATCGATCTTTGAGAGAGGTGCTAATACTTCATGTACCAGACTGATGCTCTTCATAAGTCTTTCCATCATCAAATTCACTGAACTTTGGTTGGTTCTAATTTTATCATAGACATCTTTAGAAAAAGGACTTGGCTTTAGAGCCACAGGGGCTGGGATATAACTGAAAGTGTCCTTGAGTTTGTCTTCTTTAAACATAATCCCATTCGTTGATAAGTACTGACAAGTGTCTTCAATTATCTCTGCAGAAAAGTCTTTATGTTGTTCCATTTAATTTAAATACTTAATTTCACAGGTAAATAAATATGTTAATATTGTGCAATTATGTCTCCAAATACTGGGGTTTTGGGGTTTTGGGGTTTTGGGGTTTTGGGG